GATGTGGTGTCGCAGCACTCTGAATCGTGTGGAAGGAAAACCCCAGATGTTTCACCTGGACCAAGTTCTCCAGCTTTGGAAACTTTTTTTGTGGCCCCGTTAAACATGCATACCCTAAATTTTATAATAACATCATCTCACGGTACTCTGTGCCTGACTTATCCAGATCTTTTGTAAATACCCGGGACTTGCACCAATGGTTATTTAATGAGGATGCTCTTTTGGACAAAAGGTTAATACTCCAGTCTAAATCTGTACCATGGTATCATAGGATTTAAAAAGATCACTTAAGAACCTCCTATTTGTCAGACATTGCAGTCCACAGTTTAAGAGCGGCATTTACCGCCCTTCGCTTTCAATCCATGCCCACTGAAGTGCTGTTTGGAAGGTATACCAACAAACCACAGGAACAATGTGTATGCATTTGTGGTACCGCAGTGGAAGATCTATTTCATTACATTATGGTTTGTCCATTATATTCAGACCTAAGAAGCAGATTCCTATCTGGAATTTTAAGGCAACTTTGCAACTTACCTGACAATGAAAAGTTGGTTTTCCTCTTGTCGGATATGTATCCCCTGGTTACTTGCAAGGTAGCGCTTTTTGTGCTTGCAGCCAGAAAAGTTAGATCCAAGGCTGTTTCCAGTATTGTCTAACATAGAGCTACAAAACTGGTAGCATAGCTTTTATTATTTTAAAACTTTGATTGTTTTATTTGTTCAAATATTATACCGTCTTATTCTGAAGTCTTTGTTTTTAAAACAGTACTTTTGAACCCTAAATTTATATTGTGTATTTATATTTTATATTGTAATGACCAATGGCTATAAACAATAAACTTACTTACTACTACCACAAAAAATATACTGGGTACAATGCCCATACAGTGAGAAGCCCATAGGATTTCTAAATCAAATATTTTCTTTGTAATCTTCATTGATCTACTTAATTGTGGCACTTCATATCCCTAATAGATATCTTCCATTCCTACATTCTGTGATCAAGGACATATTAATTTATCTGAACCTAATATCAATTATATAAATATTTGAAATATAACTTATCAGCCAACCAAGCATGGTAAGAAAAGATCATTATTAAAAGTATGATCCAGCCAAAATCAAACACAAACTCAGGTCTTGCATTATAGGACTGTACCTCAAATCAGCAACAACCCAAAGCTATTAAATAAAGAAGCTGCTGGTTTAAACAAATAACCATGTGTAAGAGATGATTAATTAATGAGAAACAAATTGAAAGCACAAATAAAGATCGCTCTTGTACAGTAAAAATAAAATATCCATTAAATACTGGGTTCCATGGATGAGCAGACCCCAAGTCTAGTGATCAGCTCCGCTTTATTAGTGATTCAGCAGATACAAAGCAAAACTCCAGGGCAACAGCCCTGCTTAAATAGCATGCAAACACCACACCCAACTCCCAACAATAGACTATTTACATAACATTAATTTCTCATTGGTCACCTCCAGAGTCCTGGTGGGCTATTGTTCTAGAGCTCCAAGCTCAGCCAGTCTCTGGTAGACAGTCCTGGGATGTTCCAGCCCCAATACATAACAATATCCTTACTATAGCTCAGTCAAACTACCTGTGAGAGAAGCAGGCCTATTCCTTCACATGTAGGTCTGTCCCAATCACATGTAAAATGGAGGGTGGGGTGCAGTTTCAATGCAAAAAGGAGAGTGCTGAATCCTTTCTCCTCCTGATTATCTTTTTCTCTGTAGCCCTTAGTCCCAGCTACTTTTCTCCCTTCTAGACTTAGTGGCTGTACCAAAGCAGAACTGGGGTTGAAAAGGACTGTGAGGAGCAGATAATAAGAGTGGTGAGCAGGCAGAGCATTCAGCAACTCAACCATACACACCCTTTTAGCTCTTTAAACCAAACCCTACACACTTTGTCAGGTGTAATTAGCTGTAAATTTGCTTATGGACATGGGGCTGCTGCCCTCATAAGTAGTATAATTTATTGAATTAATAGATCTGATTAAGTAATTTCAGATTTATTTATTTAAAACATTTATTGGCTGCCTTTTTCCCTTGCAGAACTCAAGGTGGCTTACAATTAGGGAAGCGCTCCCAGAAAAAAATTGAGGGGGAGTTCCTCCCAGTTTTTTTCTGAGGCATTTTTTCAGATTGAGTGAAATGCTTTTAAAAACAAGGTGAGCATGCTGTAGACATACAGCTCTTAAATCCAATATGTATTTCTGCACCTAGAAAGATACCTGTCAGGAGGGGTGCAGTCAGGGCTTTTCTTGCTTCTCAAAGTTGAATGCCTTCCCTTGTCTTTTTGACCTGATGTGGCTGACCTTCATATCTATCCCTTAAAACACTGTGACACATTTACCCACAGACTCGGTAAAAAGTAACTTATTGCCCTATCTGGCAGGAAGGGGAAAAAAGATCAGAAGGATGTGGAGCACCAAATGTCAAGTCCTGGATGCAATCACTCTCACAGACACTCTTGTAGCAGCAAGATTTGTTTATTAAGAAGTAGAAAGGTTCCAAGCATAGACAGTTTCTGTGTCGGAACTGGGGCCCAGATGCCAGTTCCTCCAATATACTGAAAGCAAGAAATTCTACAAATACCAAGCAACCAATCAGTGCTCCCATTCAGCCTGCCACATGTCTGCCCCTGCCCTTGTGACTGCCCCTACCACCTGCAAGCTAGTGGTTACATTATCTAGAAGCTTCCCAGACTACAAGGTCACACAGCACGATGAGATCATATACTTCCCAAGGTATTCTCAACACACTCGGAAGGCCCCTGCATGAGAACTGTTACAAGCTGACACTATCCAAGCAAAGCAGACAGCTGTACACATCCACTCCCCCTCCCCCCAGTTCCAAGCAGAGATGATAAAAAGCAGTGAAGAAGACCAAGGTTGCATGCAACATAAGAATTGTAGAAAAATACATGTGAATCTATAACACAACCAATGGAATAATGAAACTTGGGACAGTAACCCCTAATGCAACAGCACATGAGTGCTGGAAATATTTGGCAAGTGAGGCCCGATCTTGACACCAAAAGCCTCAGAAGAAAACTCAAAGTTTCATTAAGAACTTAGCTCTTTCTAACAAGATCGCAAACATTAAGTATATGTGCTAAGACGCCACAGGGTGCAGCAGCCTGCAGTTTTCTCTCAAGTTTTGGGTATATTTGCAGTTTTGCTTGTACAAAACTAAGACATTTATAATGTTTAAATTCCATAAATATGTCAAATATTGCAATTTTATAAGCTAAAAAAGTTATAAATGATGCACTTTATGTTGTTAAAGCAGTAAAATTAGTTTAGGTAAGATAGTAAGTATTGCGTATATTTAAATTTTCCCCAAAATTTCTGTTTTATTTCTTGGGGGAAAGGGAAAACTCATTTTTTCCCAATGGCTTCAAAATTTCCAAAAAATTTACATCTCTGCTTACAATATTAATAACGAAGAGCTGATGCCCTCTCAGCTTGAGGAAACCTTGAAGAAACTCAAACAGTTGGAATGGGCCAGCACTGTGGCTAGGGCAAGACGCACCTGCTCTCCTTTGGCTTTGGGGTTGTCCCCTCCAGAGAGATTTCCTGACTTTTATTCAACGTTATCAATTCCATCTCACCGCCACGCCTTTATGCTGGCCCGCTTAAATGTATTTCCAACGATAGTAACTCTGGGAAGATTTGGAGCCCTTCCTTACTCAGATCGCCTTTGTCTGTGCAATTCTGGCGAAATTGAAACCTTAGATCATCTGATGTTTCGCTGTCCCCATTGGACTCAAGTTAGAGGCACTTATATCTCTCCTATTCTTACGAAGATGAATCTTCCCGCGCAACCTTGGGTGCTCTCAGTACTGTTATCCGACTCAAATGCCGATGGACTGATAACAGCTAACGTGGCGCGGTTCCTGGCTAAGGTGGCTGCTCTCAAGAAGCATTGAAGATTTCAGCACTTCTGAAAACTCCGACACCAACTTTTAATCTTCGGATGATTTTAGTCAGTTGGCTCCGCCCCAAGTGTAGTTAGGTAATTTTTAATCTCTGGGCTCAGCCTGGGTTTTATGTGACTGTGATTATGTACCTTGACACATGTTATGTCTATTTTATGTACCTATTTTATCCCCCTTTTGTATCCTTTTGGTCAAGACTTCGGTCATATAGACCTGTAATGAATTGAATTGAATTGAATTGAATATTAATAAGACATTATAAAAACACAATTAAAAAACAATTATAAAAACCACATTAGCCACAATTAAAAACTCCAAATAGGACTGCCAATAATAAAAGCTAAATCAATCAAAATGCAATCCTAAATAAAACTGTTTTCAAATGCCTCCTGAAGATCGACAATGAGGCAGCCAGGCCCACCTCCCTGACGAGGTTGTTTCACAATTGCAGGGCTGCCACGGAGAAGGTTTCCTCTCGTGTAACCACCAAACAAGCATCTCTAATTGGTCGGACAGTCAAGAGGGCATCTCCCTGCTATCTTAATTCCCAGGAAGGAACAGCTATGTAGGACTTTATAGGACAAAATCAACACCTTAAATTGGGCTTGAGATCTGCTCGTTAGCCAGTGTAATTGCTATAGTATTGGGGACATATGTTCCCAATAGCTGGCCCTGACCAGCAGCCTAGCTGCAGCATTTCACACTAGCTGCAGCCCCTGAATACTCTTCAAGGGTAGCCCAAGTAGAGCACATTGCAGTAGTCCAGTGTACATGCTGACTTCAATGAAAATAAAATCTAACTTTTAAATTTACATAAAATCATAGAAACAATTTTCTCTCAGTCAACTGAATGTATTCATCCTTCAAAACAGGACAAATTGGACAATGTTGTAATAGTTCATGCATCACAGCAAAAAAAAAATTGTATACCTTTACCAATTTTAAATTAAGCTGATTTAGTGATCGTACTATTGTGATTTAATATCATAATTTCATTTTATTATATAACATGTATCACAGATGAATTAATATACATAATATTTTTTGCGCAGAATCATGAAATTTCATGTTGCCAAAAGAAAGTTTAAAGAAACCTTGCGCCCCTATGATGTTAAAGATGTCATTGAACAGTATTCAGCTGGTCATCTGGATATGCTGTGCAGAATTAAAAGCCTTCAGTCACGGTAAGGAAAAGAAATTCCTTTGACAATAGAATCCTTCTGAATACATGGGGACCTATCATGGTTGGGAAAAGGCTATTTTTCTTAAGTATTTAAAGCTTTCCAACCCCATTCCATGAACAGTATCATCATATCCATGAATAACCTGTTGGACTAAGAAGTAGGGATGGGCATGAACTGAGGAAATTGAGGTTTGTCCCAGTTTGTGGTTTGTGAGGTGGGAGAAGATCTGAGATCCTCCCTTCCTCCTTTTTGGTGGGGGCAGCTCTCTGAGGCCAGCAGAATAGAGGGGGGTAAGGGGGATCTTCCCTCCCTCCTTTCTGCTGACAGCGGCTCCCTGAGGCCAGCAGAATGGAAAGGGGGGGGAGATCTTGCAAAAGCCATTTATTGGAAATGCTTAGAAGTTGGGGGGGCGCAAAAGGGATCATTGAAATGGATGCAAGCTATTTCAGTGATCCCTCTCCCCCCCCCCGCTTCCCAATATGAACCCCACAAACCTCAGAAACCATGTGGAGGGTCATGGGAGAGTTATGGATAGGGATGGGCATGAACCTCTGGTTCATAAAGCACAAACTGGTGATGTTCATCAGGAAGTTAGGTTCATGACAAGGTTCATGCCCACCCCTACCAAGAAGTACACACTCAAGGCTTGCTGCACATGGAGTTCCTGTGGATGGATCCTAAAACATCCATGCTACATACATGGGGGGGGGGGTTACCACCAGAGAAAGAATAACAAAGTCTCATTTTGCACAGGGTTGGATCCTACAGATTGCAAATGAAAGGAGCTAACAGCCATGTGTCTCTCCTTTCCCCAAGTAGCCACCTGTTACAGAAGACAGGTCTATCAATGGCTACTAACTGTGGTGACTAAAGAGAAACTCCACATTCATAGGCAGTAAACCTCTGAATACCAGTGCCAGGAGGCAACATCAGGGTAAGGCCTTAGCCTCTATGCCTTCCACTGGCCACTGTGAGAAAGGATGCTGGACTAGACGGACCACTGGTCTCATCCAGCAGGGCTCTTCTTATATCTCTGAGACCTTCAAACAGCTAGTGCTTTGTGTCATGGAAGCTCCATGAACAAAATGCCAGGGGGGCACAGGAGGCTGCTGTGAAAAGGTGAAAACAGTTGATGCTACCTCCCAAATAGACTTCCCTCATGAGTTGAAAGAGACTTTTGCATCATCAGAAACTAAGCCAGTGGTAGACCAAGAAAAGAATATGTTGTCTGATTCTCCCCTGTGCTCCAGTTATGCCACAGGATCTCACTGTGCAGTACATTGTCCTTGGTTAAGGACTTGGCCATCAGATGGGAGGCTTGGCCAACGACACAGTAAAACAGGCCTAGTGGCATAGAAGGAATTGCTTACCTCATCTCTGTCAGGTTGTTACAACAGCCCTTACTGGTGTCCAAAGTCGCTCAAGGCCATCTTGAAGACTCTGAGTATCTTACAACCCAGCCAGAGGAGGCTAAAAGTAACAAAAGATGGAGGAAGGAGAAGGAGAGGGTTCCCCACAAAGCTTTGTGGGTCTTTCACTAGTTGGTTTCCTTAGTAACAGCTGAACGTAAGAACATAAGAGAAGTCATGTTGGATCAGATCAATGGCATATCCAGTCCAACACTCTGTTGCACACAATGGCAAAAAAAACCCAGATGCCATCAGGAAGTCCACTAGCAGGGCCAGAACTCCAGAAGCCCTCCCATTGTTAAACCCCCCCCCCCAAGCTGGTTATCATTAAAACAAGATATACATTTCCTAGAAAAAAATCTATTTAACTTTCTCACAAACTTCACTTTTGAAAGCTTGTATACGTTGATGATACTGACCTAAGTATTACATTTATTTCCAGTTAAAAAGGGTCTATTCTGTATTTTTCAGGGTTGACCAAATTCTTGGAAGAGGGCAAATAGCATCTGATAAGAGAAATCGAGAGAAGAATACAGTAGAGAATGAAACAGCTGATGACCTCAGTATGCTAGGACGTGTAGTCAAAGTGGAAAAACAGGTAACATGATTTATATTTCCTTCCCGGTTATTGGTTAGTATGTAATGACAAATATTTGATACTTGCAAGGTAAAAATAATTTTCTTTAGTCTCTATACAAAAGCTATTTCTTGTACAAAATTATAATACTGGCTAGGGTGTCTATTGCCACTTACATTTTTGTTAGTTCACTTTGTCATTGGAACTATGGAGAAGGCATCTGTCTGGAAAGCTGCAAACCACAGCTTAGATGCTTCACAGAAAGATCTGCAGAACTCCCATTGATTTCAGCAGAACTGCATTGGGGATACTGAGTGGCTTGCTGCCTGAATGATGTACATTTAATTAACAACATATTTGTTTCTCAGCCAAGGTTTAAGACAACATTAACAGTACAATCCTAAGAAAATTATCCCTATGGATAAGGCCTACTGAATAGACCCGTTGGGTTCTGAGTAGACCTGCTCTCTTAATCTTTGGAAATAGATGTTAAATAACTAGTTTTGCAGATTAAATAGTCATTTGTATATTTTGTTGTTTGTCTGTTAACACCTTGTATCCTTTCAAATAATTGATACTCACAGACTATTTTTTGTTTTTTTTCCTCCAGGTCCAATCCATAGAGTCAAAATTGGACTCACTGCTAGATATCTACCAACAAGTCTTGAAGAAAGGATCTGTATCTGCACTGACTTTGGCTTCATTTCAAATGCCACCTTTTGAATGTGACCAGACTTCTGATTATCAAAGTCCTGTAGATAGCAAAGATTTGACTAATTCTGCCCAGACCAGTGGATGTGTATCCAGATCAGCCAGTGTCAACATGCCATGTGGCCTACAGTTTATACTGACACCAAATGAATTTAGCCCTCAAGCTTACTATGCTTTTAGTCCAACTATGCATAGTCAAGCCACACAGGTGCCAAATGATGGACCTGCAACACTATCACCTAACAATGCACTAAACCAAATAAATCAGACATCTAAGCCAACAGCACCTACAACGTTACAGATACCCCCCTTTTCATCAGTAAAGCATTTCAATAGATTGGAACCTATTCATATTATTCCTTTGAGCACACAGGAGAATACTTCTGATGTCACCGCTTGCCTTGTTGCTTCAAAGGATAATGGAAAAGTTGCACAGTCCAATGTGACAAAGGATCTTTCGTGGGGGAAAAGTCTTGATACTGAAGGGGAACCCCTGGTCTCAGTGAAACCAGTAATGCAAATGGATTTAGGGAAATCGCTATCTGTACAAAATCTTATACAGTCAGCAGCAGAAGAACTGAATATACAGATTTCTGGTAGTGACACAAGTAGCTCAAGAAGTAGCCAAGAATTATACAGCAAATGGAGGGAATCAAAATTATTTATAACTGATGAAGATTTGGAAGCAGAGAGAGAAACAGAGACTTTTGAAACCATTTCCCACCCATTAGTGGAAACAACTCTCTCTACCGACTCTCTGAGGACTGGAATGTCAAGATCATCTCAAAGCATTTGCAAACCAGGAGATGGTACAGATGCTCTCAACCTGCCTCATGTCAAACTTAAATAGCTTTTTTAAAAAATTTGTCAACATACTAAGTAATTACTTCAGTCATGCATATCAGAGCATGGACTATTTTGAAAACCCTTTTAATGAAATTTTTAAAAATTAAATGAATCAATAAGGAAGGTGGTTGTATGAGTCCACATTGTTTAGCTGCATGAAAACGCATGTTTTGGTGATGGATAAAATTCAAATTTATACCTACAGTACATCTGTAGTTTCATTTAGTATAGTAGGTATAAATGAGCAATCTACCAAATTAATGCTGCAGGTTTATTAAAGAGCAAAAGATCTGAGCATTTAGAAGCAAAGCCACTGCTATAGTACCGAACTAATATTCTCAAGATATTAAAAGCTTCAGATTTATTATATATGTCCTGAATTTGATTATATATGTTTACAACAACAAAAAATTCTACAGCTGCTAGCAAGGAAACCCATAATATGAGAATACAAATGGATGCTAGTTGCAAGCTACCATTAATCAGCTATTTTTGTTGAATTCTGTATCCCCTTGGAGATAACCGAATTGAGACAAAATATTTTGCACAGCACTTTTAGGTATTTAATTGTGACTGAACAATTCTTTTTTTTTCTTTCTTCCTTTTTTTGCTATAAAAGTGTACAAAATTACACAATGTCAGGGATGACCTCCTATGTGATTTTTCCCTTCTGTCTCAAAATTTCTGAACTCATTGTTGGTGTCCTTATAGATCAGAAATACTTTGGCAGAGATCTCTGCAAAGGAAAAACAAAAACTTGGTTGTAAATTTAGTACTTTCTCCCTTTATAATATAATCAGTTCTCATAATTATATTCTGAAGCTGAATGATAGCACAATCATAAGTCTGAAAAAGAAAACAAATCAGGTAAGGTAGGGAAGATCAAACACTACAAATTAAGAAAAGGGCAGAAAAGAATGTACAGGTAGAATATACAAGAATGGAATAAAAAGGCATAAAGGAAAGATTTTTAAAATCTCTTAAAATGAGTGTGTTCAAGAACAGGAGGTAAAGAATGAAGAGATAAACAGCAGTCAGAGATTCTCCCCTACCACCATCTTTCCAAGTAAATACAACTAATCTAATTGTTTAAAAAAACAGCCATCAGATGGCAAAACTGCAGGTGCACAACTGCTGACTGCAAAACTGTTTTGAAAACAGGAACCTTAAAACTCATGTTTTAGAATGGTGTGTGTCCCCACACCTTGTTATCAGAAAGTGTGTTGTTGTTTTTTGTAATACACAATCTTCAGGAAACTATTTTTTTCTTTAATATCTCCTCTTATTTTCATTAGGAATCACCTGGTCAACAATACTAGTAAATATTTCCATACACAAGCTTTGCCTATGAAATCTTTTAAGAGCATAAGCACCTTCCAATCCACTTCCTATCAATAACCAATACTGCAGTTATGATTTCCCCCTAACTATACCCAGCATATGTCCTGAGCTCAACCTTCTCCTATAAAGATTTCAAATGCATTCTGCATATTAAAGAGTGCCATGTCAAGCTCACTTGGAGCATGTTTATGAGCCAGCCATGCTGAGAATTTTATATATTTAAAGTGTCACAAGAGTCTTAAGCATCCTTAAATGCTGCAGATTGTACTGCAAGCAATTTGAACTGTATATTTATAGTAATCTCTGCCACCATCATTCTTTTTTACTCAGAAGAATTTTCTGGATATTACATCATAATGTTATGTGAAAGTACACAGAAACTGTGAAGTGTTTATACTTTGTCAGTCACATGAAACCTACAGATGACCAATGCTCTTCTCCACCTTTTGCTTGGTCAAAGCTCAAGTGAAACATTCTGAAACAAAGCCTCTTCAGACACATGGCTGTCTTTCACCTGCCATTTAACTTGTGCATTATACTTTTACAATCTTCTTTAACGTGCTGTATAATTATGCAGAAAGCTGATTGCTACAACTTTTTTAATGAAGTTAAGCAGGGTTTCTTTTTTCCTTTATAGCCCAGAATTCACATTACGTACACCAACTAGAGGCTCCTGTTCTGAATACCCAGCTAATGCTATCTGCTATCCAATGCCAAAGCCAGAAGGTGTGCAGATGAATTGCATCCATGGCAGGCCATGGGAGAAGGGAAGATGTGACTTAGGGCAACTACCCCTCAGTCTCTTTCAAAGCTGCTCTCTGGTTCAGTTCCTGGCTAGAAATTTGCATATTTGCTTATCTGGATATCACCAATTTGTCCAGACAAAGCTGTAAATTTAAAACATATTGTAGAATGCCTGCAGTATTCCTTTCTTTCATTTATTGAATGTTTTATAGTGCCTTCTATGCTTTATGTGAAACCTCTATCTCTGCATTTAAGCCTAACAGAGGAGCTAAAACAAGGCACAGGCCCCACAACAACTGTATCAATAAGGAGACATATTTCCCTTCTTTAAAATATGAGTGCGAGGTATCACCCTGTCCAGAGGTCATTTCGCGGGGGATCGCAGTTCCCCTGGGTGAGATACGGGGGGCGGGGCACAGGGCCCCTCATGGGGCTCGGCAGTGGAGCGGCAAGGCCGCCGGCGGCGGCTGGGACCGTTGGGGGCGGGGTGTGTGGCCTTATCACTTCCGGTGATGTCAGGGGGTGTGGCCTTATGACACACTTCCGGTGATGTCAGGGGGTGTGGCATATGCTAATGAGTTATGTTAATGAGTTCCCCTAGCTCTTTTTCTACGAAACGACCCCTGACCCTGTCAAATGTTTGTGAACAGCAGCATTGAAGCTAAGCTCCATTTCAAACTGTAGACAGAACAGGTTGCTACTACTACAAGGCAGCCAGTTACTTGTCTCGGCTTACAGGATTCACCTACCAGAAACTGCTATTTTTGCCTTAATTAAAGGATATGCTTGAGTCTTCAAAGTGTTAATTATGCACATAATGATGTATGAGAAAGCAAATGGCTATATTAAAAACTACTGACAATTCAGAAATACGTTTTCAAAATTTGTTGAGCTTCTATCCCCCCCCCCTTTGTGGTGCATATTTACAAACAATCAAGATTTTCCCTTCTATAAATTTTTCTACTATAAAATTGATTTTTAAAAAAATTGACATCTGAATGTTTCAGAATGGTGTAGTTTTCCACATTTCCTCATTGGGAGTTCTTATATCCACAGCATAAGCTGTGGGTCATGGTTTATCTTACTAAAATCATTAGCAAAATTAAATTTTGATACACTCTCTTAGCCCTTGATTATGTCATCATTTGCATGGGTAGTTTATGTCTATGCTTAGTACTACTGAATTCATTGCAATGAATGTGTGGTATGGTGGGGAACATATGATCGTTATTCATTTAAGTTGACTTTGGGTTAAAACTTATGAAAGCCATAAAAACAGTAAATAATTCTGAACAGTTTTGGGACACTAAACAAATCATTAGTTTTTGACCTGTATGTCTGCAGTTCTTGGCTGAAAAAATAACAGAAAAGGGAAAAAAAATGTAATGATGGTATGTTTAGAAATATATTTATATTTTTATTTGGCTCATAAGATATATTTTTATTTAAATATGAATAGCCTATTCTAACCTAGAATTCAGTATGGTAAAGATCATACATTTTACTCACAATGACCACATGTCTTACATGTTTTATATGAGATAAACATACTTAAAATTGACTGCTGTCATTAAATAGAATGACAGATACTTTTATACTTATGTGACCAGTTAAATTATTTTGAAGGGCTTGTAGTCCTTACTTAATCAAAATTCCTGTTAACTTACCTCAACAGAAATGTCCTCCAAGTTAAACTATACAGGTGTGAACTGTTACTAAGCATCTGTTTAAAGTGATGTAATAATTACTCCATTTTTTCCCAGAGGACATTAATGCTTAGCTAATTAATCCTTATGTCACATTGACTCTAAAAATTAATGCACAAAATGCTAAAAGAAAAAGAGATAAATGATATTTTTATAAAGCACAGAACAAAGAATTTAGCAGAAAATATTAAAAAGTAACAAAAGTGCAGTGCAATCCAAAGCATGTTTACTCAAAAGCAAGCCAGAGGCCAATGGGACATTCCCTAGTAAGACTCAAACTACACATTATACGTACAGGCATGTATTAGAAGCCCAGTCACCCCCCCCCCCCGAACGCCCCGGGAAAAGTTTATTTGTAAGCAGAGGAAGCAGGGATAAAAAGAGGTAGCATGTAACTTCGCCTGTCTGCCATCTTCCAATCTTAATCTGCACTCTCAAAATGGCTTTTCATAAAAAAGAAGAGCTGCAGGGTCTGAATTACACATATTTATGCTAATATGTAGTTTGTTCCTAAATTTGCTTAGATTTGCAGTCTTAGTCCCGGTTTTAAACACATTAACATTTTGGTGGTTTAGGACTGGTTAAATGAGCATAAGAGACCAAATCTCCCCTTTGTGATTCTATTGATTTCACTAGACTTGCCTATAGAAGAACTTAATTTGCTCTTCTGAGCCACTTTTTTATTCTCCTTAATGGAATGTTTTCTTATTTCAGTAGGGCTAAATAAAGCAAATTTTAGAGGGGGAATGGTTCATATTTCTGCTTTACTCTCCTCACCATCAAACATTGTACAAATTGATTGAAACATCCGGATTGCTGTACTATTCAGATTGTTTAATAGGTTTTGTAAACCTCCCAGTCTTTCAGATAGCTATGGGATAGTTCCATGGACAAAAACATCTTCTGCCAGTGGGAGTGTTCTAAGATACTAATGCTGGCCCAAATCTGAGGGAGAAGAGCTGAAATGTTGGATGTATGACAATAACGGGAAAATATAAGGGACATTTCCACTGTCACTGAATGGCATAAGCCATTACATTACAATACAATGTTAACTGTAATTTCATGATAAATTGAATCCATGTTGTTGTTAATAAAATTATTTAAAATAACTATTATATATGTGTGTTTTTACCTTAAGAAATATTTGTGCAATATGTTACAAAAGTTCATATTATGTCAAGAGGTACCTACCTCTGTACACCTAGGAGTTCAAGGATTCAGCACAGCTGGTTTTATGTAACATTCACTTCCCTCTGCATCTGGTACCAGTGTTGGGGTATCCTTCCTTGGCCCTACATCAGTGAGGCCCACTACCTGGTGCCCCTGGGTACCTACCAATGTTTCCTGGCACCTACCTCCTCCTTCTCCAAAGCAAAGGGCCAGTTCTGGTTTCCTTCACCTCATCGGAGCAGAAAGCGCTTCAGAAGACCCCAGGAGGTATCACATTTGAGAGCACCCATTCAGAAACAGCTCCTTCCATCACAGGACAACTCTTGGCTTGTAACCTCCCAATATGTTGCAATTGTTGACCCTTGGCAGTAATTTTATGGTTGGTCCTGCTTCTGTGTCAATCACTTTGTGGGGGCATCCACTACTCTTTCTCAAAATTCAGAATGTACCTACAGACTCAGGAAAGCTGGGGATCCCTGCCCTAGAATCCTTCTCTTACATTGCAAGTACATTACACCTCCCTCTCTGCAAAGTTCTGTCCCCTCTAATAATATTAGCATACTCTGTGGCCTTGCAAAACCAGTAGGAACTGCGCCCATCATATACTCTGCATCTTCACTGGAGACCAAGAAAACATCTGTTGGGCTGCAGGAAATATTCTCAAGAGGTAGCATTAAGCCTAGAGAATACATCATCTCACATGTTAAGACAGGTTACTTGCTCATGTATCTGCTTAAAATGTACTGCAGAACTGTGTATATTAAAATAGTATGTATATTTTACATATACGTATTTTATGTACATCATACATATTGTATGTATATTTTTTTACCAAGTGGTTCTTCTGAGTTTGTTTTTCATGATGGTAGCTGGTTGATCAAAGGTTTTTCATGAAAGGAAAAAACCTCAAGAGCAGGGCAGTAAATAAAATAGAAATTAAAGGGATTCTAGTAGCCTGCAACATGAACAATCTTGTGCATTATTCCACTAAAGTAGCTAAAAATATTTAAACCTCTAAAATCTCCTTATGAGGTTTACTTGAATTTGATTAAGGAAGTCATTCAAAACATTGCATTTTTTGTGATTGTCGTTAAAGGAGGAGGGAGCAGGGCTGCCAGCTCCAGTTCGGGAAATACCTGGAGATTTTTTTTGGGGGGGAGCCTAGAGATGGTGGGGTCTGGGGCAGGTCTTCAGTGGGGTATAATGCCATACAGTCCACCTCCAAAAGCAGCCATTTTCTCCAGGGGAACTGATCTCTGTCACCCAGATATTAGTTCTAATCCCAAGAGATCTCCAGCAACTCTTGGGGGGAAAGCTTTAGTAAGTACCAAATCCTGCTTTTGTCTGTGAGTAAATTTGTCTGAATCAACCAGTGGGAGTAGGGTTGCCAGCCTCCAGGTGGTAGCTGGAGATCCTGTTATTCCAACTGATCTCCAGGTGACAGAGATAAGTTCGCCTAGAGAAAATGGCTGCTTTGGAAGTTGGACTCTATGGCATTATGTCCCAAACCCCGCCCTCCTGAGGCTCCACCCCCAAAATCTCCAGGTATTTCCCAACCTGGAGCTGGCAACCCTAGGTGGGAGAGGGTATCTGACTTATCACCTGATGCATTTACCATCATGTCCACGCTCAGTTCACAAAGATGTTATAGTGGTCTGTAGGATCTGGATTCAAATTCCCTTTCGGCTATGAAGCCTGAATACCTCCAGGGCTTTTCTTTAATCTTTGGGATGTTATGAGAAAAGGGGGGGTGGGCAAGAGTATGTACATCACTCTGAGGAAAGCACGAGATAAAAATCAGGAACGGGTCTCCTAAGGCACAGGGTTCCTCCTCAAGCAACAGAACTCTTTTATGAATATTTACACGGAATTAAATCCCACTTGGTTCGGTTCCAAATAAGAACTACTCGCTTTAAGAGTGACAACTTTTCTAGAAATCTAAAGAAACCAAAGTGAAGTTCACCGCTTGCACTCCCCACTATAGCACATACTGCAAGTCAAGCATGTTTGGAGGCGATCTGCTAGGCTTCTACTTTGTTGTTTTTAAAAATGCCCATTCTTAAAAGACTGTCTTCATGTTAGCCGTCCTGAAGCATTCTTGACAGGGAATTTCGTTCGTCTAAGCACAGTTAAGGTAGGGCTAGTTTTCCTCCTCTTCTCAAAAGATAAGCCTTTTAGCTTATTTCACACCGCGACAAATTTACCCCTTCACGTTAAAAAAAAATATATACGGCTACATGTTTAACAGGCTAACTGGAGAAAACTCGGGAGAGAGCGGCAACTTTATTCCCTTGCTATTTTTTCCCTCCTCTTCCTTCAGAGGGAAGCTTCCGCCTTCCAACCAATCACCTACTAGACAGTTAGAGACGCTTCAGCCAATTGGAGCGGCTGCCGGAATCGGGCGGTTTAATTTAGCACGCGCGAGGCAGTTGCTGGACGAGGGTAGCGTTGGGAGTTATTCTGTTGGTCTTGTTTAGGACTGAGGAGGGCTTTTTCCTTCGGTTTAGCGGGTTTTCGTTATGTCCGACTGGGAAGCGGACAACGATGAGGACGGACCCCACAAAGCCACTCCCGACTCCCCTTGGGCCTTGCCTGTATGGTCCTCGGTGACGGAAGTCGCTTCTCCGGAAGCCTGTGGGAACCGAGGCGCAGGCGAAGACAAGAAGGCAAGGAGCGACGGGAGGAAAGGGCGTTCGCCGCAGGTCCTTGCCCGCGAGCCGTGGCAGTCGGGGCCCTTGGAGTATCGGGCTCGGAGGTCCCCTGGAGGAAGAGGCCGAGAGCGTGCGCGGTCGCCGCCCCTCTCCTTCCACCTGGATAACGCTCTGGTCGGCACCCTCATAGGTAGTGTTGGGCAGCGTGAGGGTCTCTGCTGGGGGCGGGGAGAAGGAACTTCTTTGCCCCCTTGGTGAGGGCGATTCATAGCGCAGTCCTCAATAGTTATGCCCTTGTGAGCCCACTAATCGGGTTTAAAAGGGGTGTAACTCTGATAGGATCCCGTGGCCAGTCAGGCAAAGGGAAGGAACTGCGGGTTTGTAGCTGCCCTGCCCACGCATCGGAGATGGTTTACTACGTTGAAGTATGGCTTGCGGTCTATAGCCATAATGCACACACAAAAAGGCATTACAAGGGGAGATAATAATGTGATATAAGTAAATCACCTGTAAAATTAATAATGGAGCCAGTGATTCAGGCTGTAGAGTATCTGATTCGTGTGTTGACTGTAGTCAGGAGTGTGCTTTTGAAAACAGTGGTGCTTCCTATATGAGATCTCAATTTGGCAGTTGCAAATAACATATTCCTGAGTCTCCACGTTACAGTGTATCTACCGTCTTTGGGGGAGGGAAGTGATGTGTTCACTTTGCTAGGTTTTTTTTTTTAATGCTGTCTTCAGTTACTAAAGGCCTAATTTACAAGCTGTAGCATTTGGCTTAGGACTTGCATCCAGGCCTGACAAGTTACCAATAGGCTATCCATTGATAGTTATGAATAACCTGCATGAACAGTGTAGGCAGCTCCAATATTTAAAGTAAAATGTTTCTCTTCCAATGTAAGTTGCAAACAGTATGTGTCCTATTACCATTCCCCAATCAAGAGAGCATGTTATAGCCCTGGTATTTTTCTTTTCCTGATTGGGTGACCCAAAATGAGAATGAAGACCTTTTTTGTGGTTTTCTAAGTTTGAATATTGTAAGTTGCAAGTATGCAAAACGCAGTTGTTGTTATTGTTCAGTCGCACAGTCGATTCTGACTCTTCGCAAAAAACAAAAGTAGTTGGTGTTAAATGCTTAAATCTTCTATTATGGAAAGACACAAATTCTGCTGGATTGAAAGAAAATAATCAGAACTCCACTATAAGATCATGTTCTAATGCACATCAGATATTTTAGCTGGGTTAGCTTCACTTGATACTTCATCGGGCACAATGTGACATTTTTGCTGCATGAAGATGTCATCTGTGTAAGACATACTGTCCTGTGAATTATACAGTTGTTTATTTTATTATGGTCAGGTGATCTGTGTAGAAGGATACTTTGAGCAGTCATTAGCTGGACTTGTCTAATTGTTCTAATTCTGTAGCCACTTAGCAAAAGTTGGTATTTGATGATGTACACAAATGTTTTACAACAGGTCGAGGTGGAGCTAAAATAAAAGAACTTGAAGAATCTTCAGGTTGTAAAATACAGGTGGAGTATTTATTTTTAAATAACTTAAATTTAATGTTTTTCTCAGATCTGTGAATTATCCTGTTACAAAAGATGGAGTGTTTGTGAGATCTCTTTTTCTTGAGTGCAAAGTCCTGCAGAAATCAGTTCAAGAACTTAGAAAGAGAACTTCTGTCATGCTTATGTAATTCCTTCAATTTAGAAATACCTGAATTTTAAACAAGAAAATATTGCTGTTTATTTGTAACTAGAGAATAGAGATTTTCCTGAAATAACTAACATTTCAGCCCTGAATATTTCTGCTTGGATATTGTATTGGTGTAGCCCTTTGTAAGCATCATCCAACTGCCCAGTCCATGGTAGTTTATAGTTGTTCCTTCAAGGAGCTCAGGGTAGCATATCTCTGTCTCCTCCATTTGTTTCCAAGTGCAATTCAAGGTGCTGGTGCTGATATTTAAAGCCCTATATGATTGGGACCAACGTACCTGAAGGACTGTCTACTCCCTTATTAACCTGCAGTCATCTTCAGAGTGCCCATTTTGGGTGCCCTCGCCTTCTGAGGTTAGATGGGTAGCAACCCAGGAGGCAGCCTTCTCAGTAGCAGCACCAAAACTCTGGAACTCTCTCAGGGACATTTGCCTGGTATACTCTTTGCCTGGTATAATTTTTTTGTAGAAATTTTCTACTATCGTCTTGAGTTCTTCTTGTCCATACTTTTCTGAGCCATTCTCATCTCTCAGCACTGTGTATTGAAGATTTTTCTCTCTCTTTCCCAAGTCTGTATGCCAACTATCTTCCTGATTTATTAGCATTTTCAAAATAGTTTTGTTTTGCAAACTTAATTTTCTTAGCAAATTTTTCAGCTAATATCACATTAATTTGATGTTGTATCAATTGTATTTTTATTTTCAACTCATTAACCGTTGGGTATTTTTTCAGCTTTTCTTCCTGCTTTATTGATTGATCTTTCAACTCCTGAAACTTCTTTGACCTGTCTTTCTTTTGTTTTGCTGCAAATTTAATTGCCATGCCTCTGAAGAAAGCCTTGCTTGTATCCCAAACTGTATTTATAGAGATATCCGGTTGTATATTTTGCTTGAAAAAATATTCTAGCTCCTTTTTTGTTTTCAACACAAACTTCTCATTTTTCAAGTGGTGTGTGTGTTTACAGCTAAATTTCTTAGAAGCACCAGTCATTTTCAACAATACAGGGTTATGACCTGCAAAAGTCTTAGGTAAAATATCTGCTTCTCCTACATTCTTTATCAAATTCGCTGAGACCCAGCACATATCGATTCTAGACCAGGACTTGTGTCTTTGGGAATAGAAGGTAAAGTCCTTTGTTATTGGATTTCTTGTTCTCCAGGCGTCAACTAAATTATATTCTTCTGCTAGCTGAAGAAACGTCTTTGGTAAGAGTGTTCCAGATTTTTTAATTTGCTTAGCTGTTTTTCTAGTACTTTATCAAAAATTGCATTATAGTCTCCAATCAGACAGTATTCTTCATATTCATGAGTTGATAATTCCTGTTCCAGGTCCTTATAAAAAAATTTCTTGGTGGTCATTTGGTACATAAATATTAATCACTAAGATTTTCTTTCCCTCTTTTTGGATTTCCACCATCAAAATTCTACCATCTTCAGAGGCAAAAATAAATGTAGGGTTGAGCTTTTCTTTAATATATGCTACTATGCCTCTTTTTTTCTTCTTTGGATCCAAAGCTATAAAAGTTTTCCCCAATCTGTTACACTCTAATTGCTGATCAATTCATCTAATATGGGTTTCGTGTAAGCAAATTATGTCCAAATTTAATTTTTGCAACTGTAAAAATGTCCTTTTCCTGTTCTGTGGTGAATTTAGTCCATTCACGTTAATTGTAAGGATTCTAATTTGTTCTCTATCACATGTCTTTAATTTACTATCAGCTTGCTTATGTTTGGTCCGTCTTGTTTCCATTCATGGTGATGGTTTACCCCCTTCTTCTCAATCCGCATCTGGTTCTCCCTGGCTGCTCTGTGATTGGGTCTCTAAATCTTCTTTTTCTTCATCTGATTCCTCTTCTTCGAGCTTTCCCCCATTGGCTGAAAGTCTCTTTCCATATTTCTTCAAAAAGTCTTGCGCTTTCAATGTTGAGTTTATTCTATATCTCTGACCTTTGTATGAAAAGAAGTGACCTCCTGGTATCCTCCATCTGTAAGAAATATCATTTGCTTTCAATACCGATGAGAGAAAATCATACTGTTTCCTCTTCTGTCTCATCCTCCATGGTACCTCTTTCAAAATTTTAATCACATTTCCTTTTATAGTTTAGTCTTTGTCTCTCATTCTCCTCAACACTTCATCTCGCACTGCTCTTTTAGTAAATTTTACATGAATTTCTCTTGGTACTTTATTCTCTCTGGCATAGCTTGAGTTTACTCTATAGATCAGGTCTATTTCTCTCTGCAGATCGTCAGTTTCAGCCTCCATTTCTTATGCGAGTGATTGTGGTAATAAGGAGGACAAGACCTCTTCCTTATCGTCTGGAATATTCTGGAATCTTAACATATAAGCCGTTCTGTCCATTTCCAGTTTAATCATTCTATCATCTTACAACTGTTGTGCTTCTGCTAGTTCTTTTACATTCTGTTCTTTCTGTTCTTTCATCTGTTTTTTAATAATCTTAGCTAATTTAGTGGTTTCTTGTTTTTCTTGTGTTGGTTTTGGAAATCCTCCATTTTATCATTTATATCTTTAATCTGGGTTGATAACTGGGTTAAACTGTTCTGTACTTGGCTCAACCCAGTTAATAAAGTTGCTTGCAAGTTTGCCTGTTCTTTTAAGGCATCTTGTGATAACATTGTTGCCACTGATTTGGATTGACCCAGGGAGGGCTTGCCAGTTTTGCTCATTTTCATATATTAATTCTAATATAAGTGTATCTTAAGAAGATTAGCTATTTTACCATTTCATTTGTCAATATTTTTAAAACTGTTCAAGCCAATACCTTTACATTCTCCAATCCCCAAATACAATAACCAATCAAGTTTTTACCATATTCTTTCTGCAATCATATAATATGCCCCACTCTCTTTTTTTCCAGCCCAGTATTTAATAACTAAACAGGTTTGGTCTTACAGCAAGCTTTCTTTAAATCAAAGTCAGTAAATCACTTCCACAGATAAGAATGACATCAAAGCCTCTTTTGTCTTCGCTCTTAACAGAGCTAATCCTTATATGGCAAGCTTCACGTCATGCCAAGAAGTTTGGGGGGGGGGGATCCACAGCGCTTCTCCCACCAACAAAAACATAAATCTCAAAGACAATCAGAATAAAGCATATTATTTATAATCCTCCTTGGGAAAAATGACTGGAAATTCGAGTCCCTTCATGTCTTTTGTTTACATATCAAACGGGACTTCTCAAAGAAGCCATGGTATCAGAGAGGCTCCTTGTAACCGGATCTCTTCCCAACCAGGAAGACAAATGCTGTTTCTCCCTTTCCGATTAGACTAAGAGTCGCTTTTTTTTGGGGGGGGGGACTTCCAACTTTCCACCCTCCTTCCTCCCTCAGTCTGGCTACACAGGTTTGTAATCTCAAATTAGTCTCTTAGTTCAGGTCTTCTTTAATCAGGAAACAGACTTACTCATCTGGGAACTTTTTTAAAAAACATCAACACTTCATCTGCTCGCTCCTCTCATTGTGGGGTGTTCACGGCTGTGTTGCAAAGATGGCTCCCACGTTTGTGGTTCAGGGCAGATGGTGAAAGCTCGATTCCCACAGCTGCTGCCTGGAAAGAGCTTCTACGTCGAGCTTTCTGCTTCAGGAACCCTTCTCCTAGGGCCCCCTTAAGTCCTGGGCTCCTCCAGGACCTACAAACCAGACGGTTTGGCTCTCCTTCAGGAGCAACTCCTAGGAGATACCGATAGTGCCATGCTGAAACCCCGCATCCACTTTTGCTTATCCTGTTCTGTTGCCATCTTCCGCCAGCAGGTGAAGACTTTTTGTTTCCCTTGGCATTCCCTCAGGGATTTCCTTCGTCTATCTTTTATTATTTGTTTATTTATTCTACTTTTAGACCGCCCTCCCCCATATTTGGAACTCAGGATTGTGTACAACATTCACGTTACAATCATAATCAAATTTAAAATAGTTAAAAACCAGTAAAACAATTTCAGTAACCATTTCATATGGCATCTAAGACAAATTTGCTTACCCCAAAGGGAGGATTGAACAGAAAAAGAGGCAAGGATAATTTAAAAATGCTGCTGTCCTCAACCATAGGCCTGGCAGAACATCTCTGCCTTACAACCCTGCGGAACTGAACTAGGTCCCACAGTGCACGGATGTCATTTGATAGAGAGTTCCACCAGGTCAGAGCCAGGGTCGAAAAAGCCCTGGCTTTGGTTGAGGACAGCTAGATATTTTTCAGGCCAGGGGTCTCCAGAAGGTTTTTCTCAGCTGTGCACAATGCTCTTCAGAGGGGTGTATCAGGAGAGGTGATACCAAAGGTACGTTGGTCCCAGGCCGTATAGGGCCTTTAAGGTTAATGCCAGATCCTTGAACCTGATCTGGTAGTCAGCCTGGAGCCAGTGCAGCTGGCAGAGCGTCAGATGTATGTGCACTGTTAATGGGGTTCTGGTGAGAACCTTTGCCACTGCGTTCTGGACCAGTTGTAACTTCCGGGTCAGTCTCGAGGGTAGCCCTGCACATATCGAGTTACAGTAGTCTAGCCTAGAGGTGACTGTTGCATGGATTATTGTGGCTAGACAAGAAGGGAGCCAGTTGCCTGACCCGGTGAAGCTAGAGAAATGCCAGCCTGGCAACTTTCGTGATCTGGGTCTCCATTTATAGGGAGGCATCCAGAAACACACCCAGGCTCTTAACGGTGGATGCAGGTGTTAATGGCACGCCATCAAGGGCTGGGAATTGGCACCCCAATCCCGAAACACCACCACAGAACCTCCATCTTGGATGGATTCAGTCTCAGCTGGCTTTGCTTCAACCATCCAACAATGCCCTTCAGCCAGATTCTTTCAGGCGGTGTCTATCCATTTGTCCATCAACAGAGACAGCTGGGTGCCATCAGCATATTGATGGCACCCTAGCCTGAAGCTCTGTTCAAAAAGCGAAGTTTAGCAAGGGGTATTACAGTACCATATGCTAGTCTAATAAAATCTTGTCTTTAGGTTGTAAGAGGAAATTACGAAGCTGAAATAAAGATATTTGGTGATAATGATAAGCAGACAAAAGCCAAAATTCTGATTGATGATCTTATTGAGAAGTACAGTCAAAGCAATGCAGGAGGAAAGTATGAAAAAGGTAACAAATTAAAACTTCAGATCTGTTTTGTACTACGGACTACCTGCTTCTTTAAAATCCCGTTTATAGCTAGGCTTTTTGCTTTGGAAGCATTTCTGAATTTAGCTCTGAAAGCTTTGTGAAAGTGTAAGGTAGAAGTAGAGTAGTTTAAACAGAATCTTCTGACCGAATCATAGAATTGTTTTTATGATATGTTGCTAAGTAAGAATGTGTAAATGCAGTTTTTCTATAGATAGTTACAAGCGGGGGTGGAAATCCCAACCCGCACAGGCTCCCATTACTGTCTTTTATCTGCCCCTATTCCCCAGTTGTCACTTTCTCTCCCTTCCAAGACTTCTGAGGTCCTGCTCCTTCTGCCTTGTCCTCCTCCTTCCTTCTGAAGCCTTTAGTCATTGCCCTGCCTTTTTCCTTCTCCTGCCATCTCTTTCTGGCCTCAGCAAGGTGGTTTTTTGTTTGTTTGTTTTTTAAATCTCTGTTGTAATGCTGACTGTAATCCTGGTATGTATTTTCTTGTTGGAGGTTTGAAGGTCTGTGCATTGCGAACCTCAGTTCTTGAGTACAAATATTTTAAAAAGAACTTTTCAGATTTTTTTGCAATCATGGGGAACTCTTGGACTTGCAAAAGAATCCCCTGTCTCTGTATGTATCTCCTTTACGTGGCTTTTTTGAACCATATTATTTGGTTCTGTTTAGAGTTAGATGTATAGATAAAAATCTTAACCCCTAATACTACCCCCCCTCACACACATATACATGCACAAAAAACTGGTTTAAACTTCATGGTAAACTGATGATTTACTAAAACATTTTATAAGCTGTTCTTGTTTTAACAGATTCCTTCAAGCACGGGCATGTTGGGACCACTTGTTATGATGCCAGTCGTTCTGGAGCTTTAAAGTCTATAAATAGTAATCCGAAGCAGTCCATTAACTGGAGTTCTCTCAGAGAAAATAAAGCTAAATATGAAGCAATGAAATGGGCTGGTTAGTATAACAGATTTTTAAGGAAATATAGGTTATTGAACTCACAGCATAAATGCTTTACTGTTTGTGAAAGCCATCTACTTTATTCTTGTAAGCATGCTGGGAACAAGTGACCACCTCTTGATTTTGCTAAGGGCATTGGTTTGGATCCTATACCTTTTCTTATTTCCTTTTATATTAGGTACTTTGAGCTAGCTGGAAAACATTAGAATTGCACTAACAGAAGTGCCTAGTGCAAGAGAATCATAGAGTTGGAAGGGATCTCCAGGGTCATCTAGTCCAACCCCCTGCACAAGGAAGGAAATTCACGAATACCTCCCTCTCCACACTCGCAGTGACCACTGTTCCACACCCAGAAGATGACAAAAAAATCTCCAGGATTGCTTCCTGACCCCAAAGTGGCAATCAGCATTTCCCTGGGTGTGTAAGAAAGGGCCACAAGCACTGAGGCACCCCTTCCTGCCCTCCCTCTCATGAGCTGCCTAAGTTCACAGAATCCATATTGCTGTCAGATGGCCATCTAGCCGCTGTTTGAAAATCTACAAACGAGAGCCCACCACTTTCCAAGGAAGCCTGTTCTACTGAGAAACTGCTCTTAACTGTCAGGAAGTTATTCCTAATGTTAAGCTGAAAACATTTCTGATTTAATTTAAACCCGTTGGCTCTGGTCAGACCTTCTGGGGCAACAGAAAACAACTTCGCCCATCCTCTATATGACAGCCCTTCAAGTACTTGAAGATGGTTATCATACCACCTCTCAGTCATCTCCTCTCCAAGCTAAACATACCCAGCTCCTTCAACCTTTCCTCATAGGACTTGGTCTCCAGATCCCTCTTCGTTGCTCTCCTCTGGACACATTCCAGCTTGTCTAGATCCTTCTTAAATTGTGGTGCCCAAAACTGAACACAGTACTCTAGGTGAAGTCTAACCAGAGCAGAACAAAGTGGTACCATCACATCTCGTGATCTAGACACTATACTTCTGTTGATACAGCCCAAAATTGCATTTGCCTTTTTAGCAACCACATTACACTGCTGACTCATGTTCAGTGTATGGTCTACTAAGACCCCCTAGATCCTTTTTGCACATACTACTGCCAAGACAAGCCTCCCCTGCCTATAATTATGCATTTAATTTTTCCTACCTAAATGCAGAACTTTAAATTTATCCCCATTGAAATATTTTATTTGTTTTAGCCCAGTTTACCAGCCTGTCAAGATCGTCCTGTATCCTGATTCTGTCTTCTACTATATTTGCTACCCCTCCCAATTTAGTATCATCTGCAAATTTAATAAGTATTCCCTCTATACCTTCATCCAAATCATTGATAAAGATGTGGAACAAAACAGGTCCCAGGACAGATCCTTGAGGCACTCCACTTGTCATTCCTCTCCAAGAAGATGAGGAACCATTCACAAGCACTCTTTGGGTGTGATCTGTCAACCAGTTACAGATCCACCTAACAATCATAGGATCCAAACCACATTTTTCCAGTTTGTCAACAAGTATATTATGTGGAACCTTATCAAAAGCCTTATTGAGATCAAGATAAACTATGTCTACAGCATTCCCCTGATCCAGCAAGGTAGTAAGTGTCTCAAAAAAAGAGATAAGGTTAGTCTGACATGACTTGTTCTTCAGAAACCCATGCTGGCTCTTAGTAATCACAGCCATCCTTTATAAATGCTCAAGGACTGTCTGATGATTTGTTCTAAAACTTTCCCAGGTATAGACATCAAGCTAACAGGTGAGTAGTTACCCGGATCCTCCTTTTCCCCCTTCTTGAAGATGGGGACAACATTTGCCCGCCTCCAATCTTCTGGCACAGAGGCTCAGAAATTACATCCGCAAGTTCTTTTAGTACCCTTGGATGCAGCTCATCTGGCCCCGAAGACTTCATTCTATTAAAGAAACTAGGTGTTTATGTACTACTCCTGTGTCAATCCTAGGCTGCAACTCCATTCCCTCATCATGTGTTCTGCTTTTGCCATGTTGAGCACCATTTCCCTTGCAAGAGAAGACTGAGGAAAAGTGGGAATTGAGCCGTTCTCTCCATCACCTGTTACAATTTCACTTTCTTGTCCACGCAATTGGCCTGCCATGTCCTTGCTCTTTTTCTTACTCTGAACATAAGAAAAGAACCCTTTTTTGTTGTTTTTTGCATTTCTCGCTAGCCTAAGCTCATACTGAGCTTTAGCTTTCCTAAGTCTCTCTCTACAAGCACTGGTTATTTGTTTGTATTCATCCTTGGTTATAAGGTTCTCCTTCCACTTTCTGAATGAGGGTTTTTTTTAATTTTCAAGTCCTTAGAAAGCTGTTTATGGAGCCACCTTGGCTTTTTTAGGCTCCTCCCATCTTTCCTTCTCATAGGAAACGCTTGTGCCTTCAGTATTTAGCTTTTAAGAAACTCCCATCCCTCTTGAGCTCCCTTCTCCTTAAGTATTTCTGATCATAGGATTCTACCCAGCATAACTTTAAGTTTATCAAAATTTGCTTTCCTGAAGTCCAACCTATATGTCTTACTGTGTACAGCTTTTGCCTTCCCCAAGACTGTAAATTCCAAAATCATATGGTCACGATTACCCAGGGTGCCCACTATTTTCACCTTGTCAACCAGTTCTTCCCTGTTGGTAAGTATCAAGGCCAAGATAGCAGATCCCCTTGTTTTCCTCTCCACTTTCTATAAAATGAAGTTGTCAGCAAGACAAGACAGGAATTTATTAGACCTTTCATTGTTAGCAGAGTTGGATTTCCAACAGATATCTGGGTAGTTGAAATCTCCCATGACCACCGTGTCCTGTCTCTTTGAGAATTTTGTAGTCTGTTGTAGGAGTGTCTCATCCAAATTCTCTGCCTGGATTGGTGGTCGATAGCAGACCCCCACCATGATATCAGTATTATTTCTTACTCCTTTTATTTCTACCCAGAGACTCTCAACTGGACTTTCATGCTGAGATTCACATATTTCCTCACAAGTGGCGGACTGCTTTCTCCATGCTGGGAGAAAAGTACATGTGGAGCTAAAGTCTAGGATCCAGGCCACTGGGTGGGATCATGGCTCAGTGGTGGAGCATCTGTTTTGCATTCAAGAGGCCCTTGGCTTCAGTCCCTGGCACCTCCAGGTAAAAGGTTTCTGTAGCCACTAAATGTACTCAGGAGCCTTTGGTGGGAAAGGGACAGAGTTTGTAGTCCCAAGATTTGGTCTTCCTCTCAAAATCCTTAAACGTGCTCTAATTGTAAAGAAATACTCATTTGTATTCTCATTTTGACAATGATTTTTTTTTGCTTATCTTCCTTTAAATTTTACAAGATTTGCCTCCAATTGAAAAAAGATTTTACAAAGAGTCAGCAAAGATTGCTTGTATGTCACAAGATGAAGTTGATAGGTGGAGGTAAGAATGATAAATTTTCTAACTGGTGAGTTATTTGGTGAGTAAAGCTGTGGTTGTGGTTTTTTACATTTGTATTTGGTGATGTCTATTATGTAGTAAGTAATCATGTAAAGTCTACTAAGATGTATTCCATACCCAAGTTTGCTGTCACATAGCATGTGGAAAGGCCCTTAATTGGTCTATAATGTTGTCATGCTTGTGGGACAGTTAACGTTGTCAAAACTGATTTTATGAAAAGTCTAAAAGAATTATATCCAAAACCAAAAACCTTTTATGAAGTTTTTCTGAAATAACACAGCCCATTGTGCCTTTATCAGTGCCTTTAATGATATTGAAACATCAGTTATAAATTATTATGTGGCATACATGTGTGGAACATACTAAAGCTTCTTTTAGTCCATCTGACATAGTTATTAGGCTAGGTCTGGAAATAAAAAATGGGTGGTTCTTTCCACTAGATACTTTTTACTAATTTCAAGATAAATAAATGCTGCTTATTGATGGTATAACATTATTTCTTGATGCTCTTTAAAGAAAAGAGAACAATAATATCACATGTGATGACCTGAAGGATGGCGAAAAACGTCATATTCCCAATCCTATCTGTAAATTTGAAGATGCTTTTAAGCACTATCCTGATGTTATGGCAAATATAAGGAAAGTTGGGTTTCAGAAGCCTACTCCCATTCAGGTATCAGTTTTATTTGTAAAAAAAAATTAAAAGTATTCTCTTTAAGCTCTAATCCGTATTTACTAAATAGCATGGAAATCACATGAAACTTTAGAAATATTTTTCATTGCTTTTTAGTCACAGGCCTGGCCAATAGTACTTCAAGGATTTGATCTAATTGGAATAGCACAGACTGGTACTGGAAAGACATTGGCTTATCTGATGCCAGGATTCATTCACTTGGATTCACAACCAGTGTAAGAACTAGTTTTACGACTGTTTCTTTTCCTCTCCCTTACATATTATGCTTACTCTGTATGTTAGTCTTAAGACCATAATAATAAAACTAAACTAGTTGGGATAAAATTTCTTGGATTCTGTGTGTGCTAGGGTGCCTTTTTATTCACTTAAAGTTGGATCAGAAATGAGATTATATGTGGTCTATAAACCACGAAATAGTTTCACAATGCTGTTTGTCCCCTTGCACTGTTTCTCTGATCAGTTTTTTTGGATAAAGTGTATTGCGCAGGTTATGCAAATACAGTAACTAACAATGGACTTTAATGTGAGAGTCCCTACGAACAGTCATTGTGGAAGTTACCCCACCCCACACATTAAAGCCGCCAGTCCTCAGGGCAGTTTTGGCATATGTACATTTCCTCTTAATCCTGCTACAAATCAATGCATGGGTATCTGTCAACAATGACAGGCATTTACGTCAGATTTGCAAATTTATTGCAGTCAAAACACATAACAGGTCTGTGATGTCTTTGAGAGTTGGAACACTTTAGATATGTTTTTTTTTAATCTAGTTTTCTCAGGGATTTGTAATCATGCTACTGTAGTATGCAGTCCCAATACATGACACTTGTGCATCTGTCTACTATCAGGATGGCCAGTTAGCAGATGGCATCCAGTATCAGATGTTTTTGCACATCCAAGAGATGTGGCTCTCAGAATGGCCTCTAAGCACCTGAGGTTAACATGAGCATGAGCACACAAACGCTGTATCAGGATGTTTGGTTTTGTTTGGTTTTGCATTGCTGTGTTAAATGGGTAGCCAAAGTCCTACAGAGGTTTGTAAGTAAGGTCTGCTGGCTTTTTTTAAAGAACTAAAATGGATCAGTTATCTGTCTTTTCTGTACTTGTCTTACCATACCTACTATGACTGATAAAATGTGAACAAATCAGGTCTAACCAGTCCTAGGTAAGTATACTTGAACATAAATTCCATTAAATTGTCCAGAACTTATTTCTTTTGAATATGTTTGGGAATGCATCTTTAATGTAACTGTAGCCAAATCTTATACTCTTTGTCTTCTGTATTATTAGTTTAAATGAGGCTGACATTCCTTTCAGTCCTAGAGAAAAACGTGGTGGACCGGGTATGTTAGTTCTTACTCCCACTCGAGAACTGGCTCTTCAGGTTAAGGCAGAATGCTCAAAATATTCTTACAAAGGAATTAAAAGGTAATATTAGCATACTCCTGCTTCCAATAATTTGGCATTGGTATTGCATTGGTATGAAAAAGGCTCAAAACCCAGTAATTAAATAGTATCAGAAAAAGAAAGTATACATAAAGCAGAGACAAAAATAGAACAGTGGTGACAGATCTACACATAACTTTCTATAAAAGATTTCCAAATAGCTAAAAATAAGTCCATATGCAGTTGTAATCAGAGGTGTCGAACTCGTTTGTTACAAGGGCTGGATCTGACATAAATGTCACTTTGTTGGACCAGGCTGTGTGTGCCATAAAACATAATGCCAGGTACCAGAGATATAAGCTGTATAAAGAACAGCAGCTGGAAGCTCTGAGTTGGTGTATCTTCACTGCAAGGCCTCATGGGGCTGGAAGGGGGGTGCAAAGGAGAACTTGCATGGGCATACTGGAGAGCCAGTGGTGCAGCACATGGCAGATGCTCCCTCGCTGATTGACTGCTGCAGACAACATTGTTCTGCCATGCTGAAGTCACAATTGGAGCGGCTCTGCCGACTCCTCCCAAGCAGTCTCCTGTTTCTTCCCTTGCATTAGTTGCTTGGGGGGGCTCATAAGAGTCCTGGATGGGCCGGTTCCAGCCCCCGGGCCTTATGTTTAACACCCCTGCTATATACCATGTGTTCAAGTATTGATAGAGTTCTAAGATCCTCATTAGTAGACTCTTATACATTCCACTTAGAGAATGGCACCAGGCAAGAAGCTTCCAAAAGAGCCCAGGAGCAGTTTCAGTAATCAGTACGAGTTAACAACTATGCCAGATATAAACTGAGATCAGGGAAACCAAATCCTCCTTCATTGAATGGAAGTTACATCCTCTTTAAAGAAATCCAAAGCAGTAAGGAACCCCACATAAATTTCTGAAGCAAGGTTTTAACTTTATGAATATATCTGCAAGGTATATAGAAAAGAATTGCACGTAAATATATTAGGCATAACGTTCAAAGTTGACCATCCAGATTCAAAGATATATCAGCAATTAGCTTGTTAAAACCTAACATAATCATATCCTTAGGAATCAGTATTCTAAAGAGCCATTTGAGCATCACCAAAAACATCAAGAGGTAAATACTTTCCATGATATATTGGCTCCCAGTGAAATCAACTCAGATTTCGCCCAGTTAATCGAATAACCAGACAAGTCTCCAAAGGTATTAATCATATTGATCAATGCAGGAATCAAAGGCTGAGGTTCCAGAATTAATAAAAGATCATCTGTGTAAAGAATAATTTTAAATTTCAGAGATTTATGTACAAATCCAACATTATTATTTTGCGCAGTGGCACAAGCCAGAGGTTCCAGACATTGATCAAAAATAAGAGGAGAAAGAGGGCAACCCTGTCTATTGGTCAGCACACTGGATCTGGGAAATGAATAAAGGATTCTAATCTGCATTAAAAATTCCTGAGGAAAACTGAATTAATACTCCATTGTGTTACTCAGAATCTATGTAAAATTGCTACTTAATAAAAAGCCAAGGCTTTGATTTGAATGCATCTCATCTTTTTAAATGTGTGTTCACAGTGTCATTAAAAATAATTATTATTTAACATCCAGGAACTGCTACTAGTATTCTATATAGAATACAGAAGAATAGTCTGTTTAGAGAGTTTAGCCTTCTAGTGCTGTATGTTAAAATGTTTATATTTTTAAACCAAATTAAAATATGTGTGTTAAAAATTAGCAAGTGGGGGAATGGGCTTTGCTAGATCAAGCGAGGTGTTTAGGAGAAACTGCAATATACCAATTGATAACAACACAGAGATACTTAAGAACTTTCTCAGCTAGGAGTAAAATAATTAAAATTGTGGCTGGAGGATTGCTTTTGAATTTTCTGAGATATTTTACTGATATGATACAGAGTGTTAAAACATGCTTGTAGTATGTTACAGTTTCAATTACAAAAACTAAATACTGGACAATGTCTTTAGTATTTGCATATATGGCGGTGGAGACCGGAAGGAGCAAATCAGTGTGGTTACTAAAGGTGTGGACATCGTTATTGCTACTCCTGGTAGACTGAATGATCTTCAAATGAACAACTTTATAAATCTGAGAAGCATAACATACTTGGCAAGTAGTTAACATATTGTATTACTAGGAATTACATGAAGTTATGTTTAAATATATATATGTGGTAGTAAATCTTCTAACTTGGCTCCCACTCCCAATGTGGAGATAACACATTAGAATAATCTGGATATTAAGCCATGCTCAGTAATGACTAGTTCTAATAACTTTATCATAGATATGAGATGATTCACTTGAATATGTAGTTTGTGTATAAGTGTTGGATTTCTTTCATGGTGGTGAACAAATGAGAGACCCAGTCTCTCATATATGGCAGGCCCAGAGGTGGGATAGTCCGTCTCAGTAGGTGGGGCAAATGAAATTCTGCTCCTCCTACCCAGGTGGTTGGTAAGAATTAGCCCACTGAGCTATTATGAATATGAGTAACCACCAGTGTTCCCCCTAAGCTGAGTTAGTGTGAGCTAGCTCACAGTTTTTTAGCCTCCGGCTCACATATTTTTGTCTTAGCTCAGGAAGGATGGTTTCAAAGCAAACTAATTTATGCAGCAGCCAAATGGCCTGCTTACAACTTTAATGCCAGCAGCTCACAAAGTAGATTTTTTGCTCACAAGAGTCCACAGCTTAGAGGGAACTTTGGTAACCACTGTCAAAAATAGGTACCAGTGTTTGAAAGCTGGAGAGAAGGTGACATGGTATAGCCCTATCTTGTGAGATCTCGAAAGCTAAGCAGGTTGGTACTTAAATGGAAGGAAGACTGCAGAGGAAGGCAATGGCAAGCCACCTTTTGCTTTTCACTTGCCTTGAAAGCACCTTGCTGGAATCACCATAAGTTGATTGCGACTTGATGGCATATACTTACATGTGTATTTGAAAGCTATTAAGTGCGTTGTTAGACGATTGGGGGAGTAGTCCGAACTGAAAAGTTGCTTGTTAGGAGCAGTCCTTGTATTTATCAGCAAGAGTTGTCGGTCCCCTGTCCCCCCGTCTGGTATCTTTTACTGGAAAACATATTTGAAGATCAGTTCAAATTACTTTTTTAAGCAGTTATTGAGAAAAAAGCTCTGTCCACTACAGGATTCTAGTCTCCACATCAGTACATGAACAGATGGTGCTTTTGCTTGCACGTGAAGGAAGGGGTGAAGCTTCATGTGGGGAAGGTGTACAGCTTTTGATTCTAGTTCTTGTTTCTGTATAATCATAGAACATTGCCTACTAAACAAAAAAGCATAGTATCTTGTTTTGGTTCATACAGAGGTTTAATATGTCTCTACAGAAATAAGATAGCTGAATTAAGAGTAGAACTGTAGAACTAGAGGTATAATATTGAAAGTCTGAGAACCGTAGTAACAAGAATATAATTACATACACGCACCCCTCAAATAATTGCATAGTAAAAATGTAATATTTTGGCAGGGTTTGTGAACCAGTTGTATACTTTGAAGTTGTCAGCTGTTTTTCACAGGTGTTTTTTCACAGGTGCTGGATGAAGCTGATCGGATGCTAGATATGGGATTTGAGCCTCAAATAATGAAGATTTTATTAGATGTGCGTCCTGACAGACAAACAGTTATGACCAGGCAAGTGTATCTTTCAGTGATTTACAGTTTTATGTGATGAAACTTTGTAGAAAAATACAATACTTAGGTATTGTATGTCATTTTTTCATGTGTATGGAATTTAACGTGTGTGCTGCTTTGGGTATCCTTAGACTGATGGTTGAACAACTGACATAATGAAACTGTTGCAAAATTGCAATTTTTGTTCCATCAATCTGATAAAATTCGTAACAGACTGCCATGATAATAAAGGGTCAGACAGTACTATTAAAGCAGTGTAATTTGTTTAAAAGATTGTAAAATGGTTAGGATGCCACTATTGGGGCAAAGAGCAGCAAAAATGACTTTTGAAATTGTAGAGAAAAAAATATCTTACAGAATCTAAGTCTGAATTTAACCCCAGAATGCACATCAAAAAACCTGCACAGTGGGACCAGGTACAGAAACATGTTTCTACAAGCCTTGGGGAGCCCCCAAGCTTGCAGAAAATTCTCAAAGCTTAAAAAAAGTTAAACCTCTCCAAAATGTAAAATCACTGTGTGTATAACATCAAATAAAAAGTGCTGACCATGACCTTATAAAATAATGGTTGGCATTGTGGGGTTGCCTAGCTGTCTTGTACAAATGGCAATTAAAAATAAGGAGCAGCCAAGGGAATAGGGAGAAAGTGGAGGCAGCAGAGTTGGGGAGAGAGAGTAAGGTACTAGCAGGAGGAGGGGGGGTACACGAGAAAAGAAAGTAGGAAACATTGGAGGTGGTCCTCTGGCCCCCTGCTTATTTACTTCTAACTTTCATTCCTATTGAATCACAAGAAGCTACTGTGGTGGTGTTGGTGGGTGTTTTTTTTTGGGGGGGGGAGTTGTTTTTTGCATTACCCTTTCTCTGCTAATGAACGTATGCTTTTTCTCTAAAAAGAGAAAGCCATCATCAATGCATTATCACCTCTCACTTTTAAAAATAATTAAAGAGTCATAAAAGGAGTTCCATATATTAAAACACATTGGTTAAATAGCTGTTATATAATGGCTGGAAAATAATTTCTGACTGATTTGATTTTATAAATAGAGCAGAGAATCTGCCAGCAAGAGGTATAATCTGTACCCAGTGTAAAATACTTGCCATGACCATGCAGATGTATACATTTTGTCATAATTTAACTGTACATGGGGAAAATATACCTTATTTTTTTTGTTTTTCTGGTTTACATTCTGTCAAATGGAGCAGTATTCCAGGGGTTTGGTAAAAATCTTGTTGGTTTGGTAAAAATCTATTGGATATTAATGGAGTTACGAAGAAACAAGTTTATCATTATAGTTTTGTATGTATTAACAGAAAAACAAATATTCTCCTTCAGTGGTCCAGATTGGTTAGGTCATAGCTGCTCTAAGTCCAGGTAGGGCTATGCAGATTTTCTTGCAAGTGTCTCCTGGTTGGATCAGCTGCCCCACAAGGCTGGATAGCCCAGTAACTCCGGCAGAAAGTGTCACAATAGCTCTGTTTCTATAATAAATAAATAAATGGAATAAAATAAGAGACTGTTTACAAAAGAGGAGGAAAGATCTTCGAGTTCCTCTGGAACAAGAAAAATAGGCATTTCTCCTATGAAGAAGAAGCAAGATCTAGTGATGGAGAGTAGACCGGGCCTGGTAGAGGGGTCAAACTCCAGAGATTGGGAGACTTTCTCAGTGGCAGGAAAAGGCACTGCGAGAGCCAGTTGATCCAAAGTTTTGGATCTTAACATCACTCTCGAGCAGGCAGCACAGGGGGACCACAGGAAGACCCAGCATGCTCTGACCAGCCAGGTCGAGTTGATGCCATGGAGTCTCGGGAGTGTCCAGGAGAGCACTGGCCATGCAGGAGACATTGGATGGTCAGAGAGCCTCCCCCCCCCCCACTCCCAGTGATCAGAACACAAGAGAAGCCATGTTGGCTCAGGCCAATGACCCATCCAGTCCAGCACTCTGTGTCACACAGTGGCCAAAAACCAGGTGCCATCAGGAGGTCTACCAGCAAGGCCAGAATCCAGAAGCCCTCCTACTGTTGCTCCCCAAGCACCAGGAATACAGAGCATCACTGCCCCAGATAGTGTTCCATCTGTATCTTATAGCTAATAGCCACTGATGGACTTCTGCTCCATATGTTTATCTAATTCTCTCTTGAAGCTGTCTAAGCTTGTAGCCGCCACCTTTTCCTTTGGCAGTGATCAGGTCGGTGGCTGGTTTGGGGGCGGAGATGTAGAGCTCAGGCCCCACAGTAGCCAGTGGAAGAGTTTGATGTTTATAGGGCCGGTCACATCGGGCTTCTAGCACAGCAGATGGGCAGCAATGTGGTGATAAATATGGCGGCGGCGCCATTTCTACCTGCACTTTTCAACTCACCTCAGGAGTGGATGCTTCAGGCCTCTTTGGGCTGTTCCTCCGGCATTATTTTTCCCTCAGAGCAGTCAAACTGCCTCATAGCCTCCTGGTTTTGCAGTACCCATCTGGCCTGTGCTTAATCCAAATCAACTGGCAGCAGAGTCAAGGGAAGGCAGGGGATGAAAAAGATTTAGATCTAGGAGAGTAGCTTCCCCCTCCCGGTTAAGATCTTCATCCTTGGTGTTGCCATCCCCACAACTACCTGTGGCAGAGAGGAGATTTATCTAAAGAAAAATAAGCAAATTCCAGTTCACTCCTCAGAGGGCTTGGCTGATGAGAGAGCCCCATTTCCAATACATATGAGAGACCGGAAAAAGCAAGAGGCTTGCAAAACTAGGAGCCAACAGCAAGTCTTTGGAAGTTCCCCTAGACTGGTTCAGAGTTAAGAGGTGCCACCTTCACCTGGGGGTTCCACTCTTGACATCTTAGAGAAAGAAGAGGGAGAGTGGTCAGAAGAGGATATTTCATCTCAAGAGAACTCTTCCAAACTGTTTTGGCCAGAACACTACCAAAGATTACTGCAGAAAGTCATAACATACCTTAAACTACCAGATCTTCCATGTCAGTTTCCAGGGAGTGGAAACTCTTGAATGGCAATCACTAGGAAGTTTTACACCCTCCCTTCAGATGCTATGGAAGACCTGAAGGTGCCATTGGTGCACCGGTAGTGACTCTCCACTCAGGAGTGATCTTGTCAAAAGATGGTGACAACTCTTTAAAGAACTCTGGATAGAAAAAACAAAGCAGCTTTTAAAAAGTCAGAGAGATAACTTCATTAATGATTAGAGCATCTTGTGTACTCTCAAATTTTACTAGAGCCATCGTAGTCTGGTCCGACAGTCTCTTACAAGATTTAGACACAGATCCACCAACGCTTGCTAAAGATAAAAAGAGGAGCTAGGTTTGCCCTGAAAGCTTCACATGATGCAATGCAACTATGTACTAGGGAGGAGACAGCAAATATTGTAGTTAGAAGAAATCTCTGGTTAAAACACTGGAAAGTTGACTCACTGTCTGTGACGACCCCTTAACTGGGGAGGTCTGGTTTTACTTTAAAAGTGTTCCTTTTATTTTTCTTTGGGTATTCCGGCTGCCACCAGGAAATTTATAAGGCTTTCCAAACCTTTATAATATAATATTTCTATCACTGGGTAGGTATACCGAGGGCTTAAGGCGTTCGAGGTACTATGTGGTCCTGGGAAGTATTTCTTTCAGAGTGGGTATATTTGAATAAAAGAGGATTTATTGAAGTAATTCATAAATAAAAGATTAACTCATTGTAACCACGAATACTGAACAAATGCTTGGTGTATCACACAATTTTCTCTCTTACTGACAGGGATCTGGGCATGTAACTTTGTAACACTTTTTCTTTAGGTACATATAATCTTTACTGTTTCCTAGACACTCAGCTTCAGTTTATAACTGTTTCAACACAGAACTGCTTGTCACTTTCTTTCATACACAGAGCTTAACTGAACTTCTACTTCTCTCATAGAAATCAGAACTAAAACTGCCTAACTAACTCTCTCTAACTGTCTTCATCAACTGTCATCTCTAACTGACACTCTTGATAGACATTCAAATCCTCCACACAGCATTCATTCCAAAAACCCCTCCCCCTCTCTGTCACTCACCAATCATATCACTTGCCTGATTCCAGCACTCTAGATTATCATCACAGCCATGCAAACCAAACTTTTAAAGCCACACTCACACACAGTTAAACATGAAATCATTACATTGTCAAAATCCAATCTCTCAACGGAGAAGTTTTCAGGTAGACTCCTGTTTGATGATGGAGCCTCAGACAAGGTTCTAGTGGAGACCAAAGAAAAGAAAAAGGCTAAGCCTTCCATGTCAGGCACCAAAGAAACAAAGTCTTACCATTTGTTTCATAATTACAGTGCTTGAATTCAGGGCAGGGAAAAAAAGGATTTTAGAGGCTCCCACTCCCACCAGATTCCAACAGAGATCCTTTGCTGCTAACAACCAAGACAGAAATCAGTCCAACAAAAAGTCTACTACATAACTATCTGATAGGAGGTCATCTTCAGTTTTTCACTAAGATTTGGGAGAAGACAACGTCAGATGGTTGAGTTATGTCTATAATCAGACACAGGATAGAGTTCACCTCCCTGCCACCTTCTCATTTTATGTCTTCCCAGTCCCAAAATCATAGCAAAAATGTCTGCTCCTGCAGCAAGCTGTTCACCACCACCTACAGATTGGAGGCAAAGAACCAGTTCCTTCAGATCAACATTTCAAGGGAGTATATTCAGGCCTGTTTGTGGTGCTGAAGAGCTTCAGGAACTGGAGAGCGATATTAAACTTGAAAAGCTTAAATCATTGGGTGGTCAGGCGAAAGTTCTGGATGCAATCACTCTGCTCTATCCTGCAAATAATTCGACAGAACAGCTTCCTGGCCTCTTTGAACCTCAGAGAGGCCTACCTTCATTTTCCCATTCACAGTTTTCCCAGACAGTTTCTCCATTTTTCCTTCCAGGGGTTTCCTTTTCATTACAGGGCCCTACCTCTTGGCCTTTCTTCATTGCCAAGGGGATTCACCAAGGTACTAGTCACCTTGGTGGTGAGCTTACAACA